GTTTGATCTGTGTCATGTCTGTGCCTGTGTGTCTGTGTGTGTCTGCGTGCGTGCACGTACATGCGTGCTTGGGTGCCTGCGTGCATGCATGTGGTGCATGTGTGTGTGCATGCAGTGTGTGCGTGTGTGTGTGTGAAATTCCTGAAAGGGAGGCCATGTTTTGGACAGGATGGTTTCAACTTGGACTCTCGAAGAGGACATGCTTTGGGGCCGGTTTTTGGGGCTGGTTTCAATCCAAAAAGATCTTAGACCCAGTTTAAGCGCACCGCAAAGGGCCCCTTATTGGCAGGTGAAATCGTAGATTATATTTTGCGGGGGATCCATCGACCTGCTAAATTTCGAAACAAAGGAGTATACTAGCGCAGCGCTAGCAGTCAATTGAACTTACGTACTGCCCATGCGCTCAGGCCCGCTGGTTGGACTCCGCTTTTTTGCGGTGAGCCTGTTGAAGCACTGTACGCTCCACATCTGCAATCTGGGCCTGTGCGCCACAGCTTCAGGCTCTTGCCTGATCCTGGGCTGCATTATAGGTCCCCCCTTTGAACCGGATCTGCACGTTGGTGCGCGCGCGAGCAGTGTTCTTGCAACCGCAAATACGGCAGGTGCTTTTCAAGTATAATCGATCTTGAGCGCGTGAATGAGCCCAGTCGGCGCGATAATTATGAAGTCGATGGCCCCATTTTAAAATATACCTCATCCAGTTTTGGGCCGACCGACTCAACTACTTTCAGGATTATCCCAAGCACGATACGATCTATTTTGTCTGAGAAACGTGCAACCCGCACAAATTGAACAATGCATTTTCACCGTTGTTGATGACTATTGCGTTGGAATCGGGGCCAAGCTTGTTCGGAAGAGGGTACCCCATATATAGGACAAACTAATTCAGAAGGGGTTCAACTTGACTGACCTCTTGAGGCACCCTGTTGATGTGGAATCTGAACCAGCTGATTATGTCTGAGTGTGAGGCTGATGCTGATCTGCATGGGCGTCTTTGGGCCGGCAACTCCTGAAGATGTGAGGGGCGCGCTGAACACGTCTTTTGATGACTTCAGCAGCTGGAGGAAGGCAATGGGGTTGCCGTGCTCGCAGAAGCGGTTTACACCAAGACTACTTCTGAAAGATGTTCACGGCGCGCACCTTTCCACTAAAGGGTTCAATGCAAGAATCATCATTGAGTGGATCAGGGATTGCTTGGAGCGGGTTCACACTTCCAACTTCAATGGCCTTCAACCCGGACGCACGCTTCAAGCGCCAGTGCTTGGCGACAATCGGTTGCCCTACTGTTTACTTGCAATGAGCCCCGGCTTCAAAATGGGATGTTTTGAGGGTCGTGATGCTGTGTTAAACAATCGGCTTTCCATATCTCGCTCTCTCTCTCTCTCTCTGCCATTGCTTCCAGAGTGTCTTGACTCAGGAAGGTAACGAAAAGGCGGCATAATGGTTTTACCCTTTGAATTCTGAAACAACGGCCTGTGACCTGAACGGATCGATAAACCCCAATCAACAAAATTTCTGATCCAAGGAATGCCCTGTGCCGATTTTTCGGGCTGATGGAGCGGTCCTCGAGGTTCTTGCGTCTCGGCCGCGCCATTGGGTAGGAGTGAGCACGGCAGTGAGATGACTCCATGGTAGTCCCCTAATAGCCTAAGCAAATTGAAATTTGTTCGAACGATGGGTGGGGTACCGGGTTGATTGATGCGACAACGTGATGTGGCATGGCATTTGCTAGCGAGGTTGAGTAGCCCAAAATATTAATGAGTTGGATGGGCCCCGAAAAAATATTGTGATTGATATTCTGAAATCCCGAGTAAAACAGGCCCCGATTTGATCAGGACGGCCGTCAAGGCAGCAGAGATTGCTCGAGCTGGGCGGCGCTTCATCAAGGAGCACCTCCGCCTCACTTCGATGAGCGCGGCCATTCCGCAGCTGGCATGGGTGTGCGTTCCCAAGGTTCACGCTCCTAGCTTGCATTAACGGTGGGGGTCCGAATTAGCGTACCAATTGCATCAGCACAAATCGCGGGTTCCTAGGCGCTTGCACATGTATGCGCAGATTGCGAGGCTAACCGCCACTTGGCTCAATGCGCCGTATATTGCGCGTTTGTGCGCACGTGTGTGCGCAGTCCATTTTGATCCAAGGATGCAACCCGCGCTTCTACCACACGTTCTGTGATGAAGATGGCATGAAGCTTCTGAAGTCCATAGCGCGCAAACAGTCGAAAGCCCGACGTGAGACTGGCATTGCTCGTGTGGCCCTTTTGCGATGTCTCACTGTGAAGTGGCAGTACCGGTGAAAATTCATAGCGTGAATGAGCGTGAAATTTCCTAAGACCATGTTTACTCGATAAAGACGTATGAGTCGATGTTTACTCATGTCTTTTGATGCCCTGGGTATATATATATTATATAAAAGACAAATCTTAACCAAATGGAAGTTCACATTACCCCTCCCACCGACTACTCAGTTGTTCAGTGACAATGAAAAAAAGGAAACCCTTTGGGAAGACTATCGTTAGTGGGGCAGCCACCAAAAAAAGAGGGAAAAAGGGTGCCACTGAACAACTGAGACTAACATGGTTTGGTGCACAATTTCCTGTAAGACGGCTTTCCTCTTGGAAGGTGGCTTTGTGCACTTGTTCACGTTAGTCGGTGGGACGGCAACTAGGTCCTCCAGTACCAGTACTCCAGTAGAGAGGTCAGAATAAGGGTACCCTCTTTTCTGTAGTCTATTTTAGTAGGGGAAACTCTCCCAACCAAAAAAGGGGTGGGAAAGGGCACCTAGCTGGGGGACCTAGTCAATACTCTGTCCACGGACCCCTCTCCGAAAACCACAGCAACTCAGGGGACGCTTCAAGATGATGGGAAAGCACAGGGGTCGCTGATCCGATTTCCCCAAATCAAAAGTTGATCAATTTACTGGTGAATTTCCGCTTAAACTCCTACTTTTGGAGGCTTTAGTGCCGAGCCCTGATTAACTTGGTGGCTGGCAGGACCCCTCTTTTGCTTTCAGTCCAATGGCAAAGCCCTTGATGTCCCAAAAAGCTGACGTCTAAAGATCATAAAGTTAAGCAATCCCCCCAGTTGTTCATCAGGGCCCTGGTCCCCTGCAAGAAAGACTTTTCCCACTAAAAGGGACCCCCCTGATCAACAACTGAGGGGTCTATTCATCGCCGATTTTTGTTTGGGGGTTACCAAGCGGAGGTGTGAAAACCCGCAGCTTCCAATCACCAATTCAGGAGCACGAGACAGGAGAGGACCGAGCACGCAGATGCAGAGACGCAGGCCAGGTCTTGATAGCGACGGTCATGTTGCCAGGCGACACGAGCGCGGAAACCAATCTCAGGGTGTGCACTCGTGACCTGCATACCCAACTCGGTTGCGAAATCTGCTCCCCTGCTAAAAGTGACTAGCTTTTAGTGGTTTAATACGGAAAACCCATGAGTTGGATCAAACAGTTATTCAGTCCTAACATCCAAGCAAAAAATGCACCGAGCTGATTCCTGCATTCTACTCAAAGGACTTGGGCGAACTTCATGGATCCCTTTCCGAAAGCCAGAGTCTAAAGGTGAAGTATGACACTTCACCAGCATGAAACTTGGGGTTGATCAACAGCTCCTTTACATAGGACACGTTTTTGTGTGTGGGGAAAACCAGTGAAAAAGGACCGTGTGTTTCACCATGGAAAAGTGACCCAAGTAAAATGTCCAGTACTTGTTAAGCAAGCCCCCGGCTTCAAGAGTCACGTCGGGAAGTCTCTCTGAAAGAGCTGCGCGCCAACTGACTTAGAACTGCACCTCCGGTCTAACGCCGTTGGAACATTCGCATGCAGATTGTCCGGCCCAAACAGGTCCAAAGGCATTTTTTGTCGGATCACACGATTTCTTTTACTTGCGGGTGCTCTGTAAAACAATCAGGGAATGAACCTGGGGATTCTTTCTGCTGAGAATCAGCAGGTCAATCAGCAGCAACCAACAGCGGACTTGCCCAATGTCCAAGGCGAGCTTCAACTTGTGCAAAGGAACACGGCCCCGCAAATGGGCCGCCACTGGTTTAGGCAAGAACGATCTAGTCTTTCCCACTCAAGCGGTGTGGTGGGAAAGAGTTGACGGCTTTTTGCAGCCCCCCCTTAAAATGAACAGAACTGAAAAAAAAAAACTATACAAGCATGCCAACAAAGGTGAAGCTAGTTTTTCTCCGGAACATTTGGGTGGACATCCTTTCCATGGGACTGTCCACATTCGCCTTGGGCAAAAGCATGCCAAAAAGAAAGCCACCCATAGCCGTCTGTGCCAAGAAGCCACGCCTGCGTGCCATGGTCATTCATTGCCTACTGCTTTGACTATGGCACAGACAAGCCGGCGACAGATTCTGGAAAAACCGTGGCGGGACGCCGGCTCCAAGCCAAACGCCACCAACCATTTAGGTTTGTGTCAAGTAGGGGACCCCTTTCCATCTCAACTGACCTGAAAAAAGGCTACCCCCCTGCTACTCATCCGCGTGAGCCTCCGTGAAAAACAAACAATGGCTGCCCCCCCCAAAACAAAGAGCCTTTGATGGGGGCATAAAAGTAACGTCCCCAAAATTACCCTCTGAATGATACAGAGTCTTGAGAACCCCTACCTGCTCGAAAAAAAAAAAAAGGCCCTTTGGCAAAACTCGAGGAAGCCGCGCTTGACCCGAAACACCACACCACCACTTTGTATTTTTTCCAAATGGCAACCACACCCTAAAAGTTCGAAGCCCATCTCAGGGAGTGAGTTGAACACCCAAAGCTCGGTGGCGAAATCTGCGAAGCCCTGCTAAAAGTTTACCTCACTTTTAGTGGTTTCATACGGAAAAACCATGAGTTGGATCAAACAGCTTTTCAGTCCTAACATCCCTTGGCAAGATGCACCAAAGACAAACTCCAAGACTCCCCCCTTCTGAAGGCCCGGTTTTGGTCACCTCCCTCTCCCTCTCTCCCACGCGTGCACGTCCGGAGGTCACGTCCGCGACTGCCTCACCACCTGCAGCAGCTGCGGGCTCTCGAGGTAGTCTCGGGCCTCATCCAAGAAGGGCTTCACCTGCCGCGAGAATTCGGGATCCGATTTTGGTCGGGCCCTGGAAAAAGGGTTAAACAAATATGTCCTGTAGATTTCTCCTGGAAAAAAAACAAAATATATGTCCCGTTGTGAATTTATCGATCCCCTTTCTACCAAAAATTGCAAATACAACAACCAGTCTTAACCAAATGTTTGTTAAAATGAGAAACATATTTCCAGTACTGACCTTGAATCCCTTTCAAACCAACCAGGGTAAATACAACATATTATTGAGCAAATGGAAGGCAGTCGAAAACGCCCCAGAAGCGCTTAATTACTATTGTGAAATCCACTTCGCACCACTTGGACACGATGGACACCAGTTTGTTGGTATTCAAGGGGGGTCATTATTCCAGGGATTCTTGGGTGGTGCCATGAGGATTTCGAAACCATCCAAAGTAGGCCTGGGCCTATGGTAACTGACCAAGCTAATGACCCAATTTCAAGTCCTTCAAGCTTAGTTACCCTCTCTCCAACTGACAGGAGGTCCCTACAAGAGGAAATTGATCTTTCCGGTACCCTCCTACAGATGCCATGTTAGTGGAGGGTATGCCTCTTGAAAGTGGGTTACACTGCGGTTACAGCCTAGGTCGCCATCTACTTTGTAAGTGTGCCTTTGCACCCGAGTGTTAGTTAACCCGCAAGGCTTGGTCGCGATATTTATCAGCACCCAGCAGATTGCAAAGGCTGGTAAGACAATTTGTTGACCCATGTTTTGACAAGAGGTTGCCCGGCAGTCAAGTTCCAATGTCATGTACCAGGGGATCACACGAAACAAGTCTCAACCATGGGCACCGTCCCGTTTAAACCGTCACATTGACAAGGGCGTTCTTATCTTCCATTTGCGGAAGGTTCCACAAGGAACAGGATGTCATTATAGTCAGGCCCAACCGCAAGGGAAGCCAACGGCAATCTTAATCAAATCGAAGTCATCTCATTTGCTCAGTGGATTCGCCAAGCAAGTCTGAATTTGTGTTGGCCACTTGGATGGTCTTCCCAGGAATTAGCAAGCCACCTCCGCCTGTCCAGTCCTTTTTCGAATGCTCCACCTGTCCGTGTGCGCCAGTGGCACATCTGTGGTAGCCCGGTCTCATACACCACCCGGCAAAACCCCAGCGCGATCAACGTGCCGTAATTCTCCGGAAGCGTCGTCACTTGCAGCTCGCTCCAGCGCCGAAAGAAGAACTCTTGCAAGAAAAACCGTTAAACAAAGGTCCTTTTCTTGGCTGCTCAAAATGGAGAGTTGGCTAGGGAACCAGTGCAAAAGGACCAAATCGTGACTCAAGGCAATTCTTTGTGAACCGCCCCGCTGACCGGCTGAGTTGACTGGCCAAGGAAAAGCAGCAACAACAACAACAACAACAACTTGGGTCTTGGCAAAAATAGTGCGAACTCAACCACCACAAAATTGAAGTCAAGGATTAAAAAACCGAGCCCCATGGCTACCCTTGTTCTGGAAGATTGAGCCAGCCATCTAACCACCAGGGTGAAGGATGGTCAGATCGTTGACCGCCGCGCTATGTACAGCCTGCTGCCGCTGCCTTCGGCAACAAGGGTCCCTCTATCAGGCGGTGAAAGCTAACTGGGCTGTTCAAAACGGAGGGTTGGCCAATCCGATTTCCATAATCCCTATAGGAAAGCCACTACAAAGGGGACCGGTTCCTTGCGTACCCCCAGGTAAGGATGAAGGATTTGCTGTGAACAGCGGCGAATTGGCTTCCGCAATGAAACCGGTGAGCTGCGAAGTTCGGATCTATGTTAGAGAATATCATCAAAAGCGAAAACGGGCCAAAACCAGTTGCCAGTGGATCCGGTTCCGGCAAAAAGGGGCCAAGACCACTTCCGGTGAAGCGCTTCACAACTCCAAAGGAACAAGAAGGGAGGAATGTCTCACAACATTGTTTACGATGCTAGGGCTTAAGCACGCGTGGAACAAAAAAATAATAGTGTCCAAAATACGCTCGCTCCAAGACTACCTTCCTTTTGGTTGCAACCACCGTGTCCACTTCCACGATTCTTTGGAAGGGAACTGCGAAAGGACAAAAATTGGAAGCCCGACCAATGTTCAGCTACAAGGATGCCGCCCAGGCTCGCCGATGTGTTACATGCCGAACGCTCCACTCCTCTGCTCTGTTGCCCCGGTAACGAACCCGATCAGGCAAACGGGTCCTTGAGCTCCACGACTTGTGCCATTGCAGTTGCAAACAAGTTCTTCAATGGTGACAAGAACAAAGTTTGCTTCAGCCCGACCTACTGTGGATGGAGGAAATCCTGCACCATCTGAGATGGATGAAACCTGACGAATTTGAATAATGGGACGAACGATCTACCAACTGCTGCGAAATGGATGTCATCCATCCACAGTGTGGCGAGTTTACACCTCACTTGCTCAGAGACCCGCGGAAAGTATGGACACGGCCAGAAGCCACTGGACCGCCTAAACCTCCAGTGGAATACAAAGTGAAAAAATGGAGAAAAACAAAATATTTGACAAGAACCGTAGCTTGGTTGACGTTGGAAGGGGAGCAAAACATTAAATTGTAGCAGTTAAGTGGGGATTTCCCACTAAACCACAATAAGCAAAAATGACAAATGTTTCGCAACAACAGCCATGGCAAACCGATTGTCAAGTTGTAAACGATTTTCCAGGTAAACCGCCAACAGAAACAAACCAGCAAACACGTCAAGCAAGTGCTAAGACGCGAGGATATTTTTTGTCCATCAAAGATTGGCGCTTGTAGCCACAACTCAAAAGCTGGAGGTCCGGCCCGGCATCTCTGAACTCGCCCGGCCACTTTTGTGCCGACGCCGAAATGAAGCGGCAAAATCGACCGCTCGCGCTCTCCAACCTAGACTCAAAAACGTAAGCCCTCCTTCAAATGGAGGAATCATGGGAACTCCAGATACCCCTCGTTCCACTAACATAGCATTTGAGGGTCCTGGCAGATCACTTCCCCCCTGAAAAGGATGGGTAAATACAACCACTGGCCTACAAAATACGAAGCAATTCTTCAGAACCCCTTGTTTGGCAAAGCAATGCGGCATCGCTTCTGACGCGCAACCAAAAAATGAACAGAAGCAACAAGCACAACACCAAAACCACGCCAACCTCAGTTGTTCAGTGACCGTGGAGAAAAAAAGGGAACCCTTTTTGGGGAAGACCATCTTTAGTGGGGCAGCCACTGCCGCCAAAAAAAAAGGAGGAAAAATAATTGGTGCCACTGAACAGCTGTTGCCAACAGTAAGCTTCGCAGCTGGGGGCTTCCCAACATCTGGGGTCTGCCATGGGGCTGCCACTGAACCGGGGTCGAGCGGCTTCCCGACAGTTTCAGCCGCACCATCTCCACACGCGCGGCTTGTCGGAGATATCCTGGGCGCGCATCATTCGTTTTCTGGGCGCGGCGAAAGCAGGCGAAACCAAAAGTAGATGGCACAATTCCGACCCAGGTTGGCTCAGTCACTTTGCTTGCTCACCAAGTGGCAGCCCAAAAAACAAACTTGCAGTCACGGCTTCAAACAAAAAAACGTTGCCTAGCTGCCTCCTCCCAACCCTGGTTCAACCCCCATCAGCAAAGAAACCCGGAACGGGCCAGGCGATGCAAGCATAAAGTGGGGTACCATGACTCAACATGGGCCAGAGCAGGACTATCTCAAATCTGGCTGGGAGGTTGGGGAGGAACTCGGGGAACATGCAAGAACACTGAAAAAGGACCCTGACCAAACCGGCAAAGAACTCGGCTTCGCATTTGGGCTGTTTCGCTTCCTGTCAACACCATCTCAGGAGGGCGGACCTTGATGAGCCAGCGTGACATACGCATATTTAGCTTGCTTGGCCTGGCTTAGACTCGCTTGATTTGCTAATCAAAAGAGGCCTTGAACACCCAGCAAACATGGGTTTGTCGCAAAACACCAGGAATCCCAAAGTGCGGTTCACCCTTCCTGCAAAGCAACCCCACAAAACGACCTCCAAAATCTAGCACGGCCCACATGGTCACGGCGGCGAGGTCTGGCAATCCTTGCTGGTGGGGATGTGGCTCATGCACCTCTGAGGTAAAGACGACACCCTATCCATAGCCCACTTAGCGGCCCACGAAAGGCAGAAACCCAATGCAACAACTGCATGCGACACAAACGTCTGAAGGAATTGATCTGGCTCAAGCTTAGTGATCCACGAAATTTACAATCAGTTCAACTTTGTCAACATTCAACCCCAGATCTAAAACTTGAATATGTTCTTTGTCTCATCGATTTAGTCAAGCACATGGTATTCAAATGGTCTACCCAAATCCATGCAAGGAAATGAAAGGGCTTCTTGCTGCACCTGTTTCTGGCTGCTAATTAACCTTCTACCCGGGTTTTGAGCACGTAGGCCGCACCCCCACATGCTTGTCAAGGTGTTTTTGAGCCTACCTTTTGCCTTTCAAACAAAAGCCAGCGTGGATTGGCCAAACAAGTGCAACATGTAGGTCCCGAGCGCTGATCCAACTAAAGACACCTTCCATTTGCTCAAGCCCCCCTCCAAAAATATTTGTTTCTCCACTCGTGAAATCGATTCCAGTTAAAATCCAACTCGGTGAAAACAAAGAAATGGAAGAAGAGAAGACACCAGCAAGACACCAGCCAAATGGAAGGCAAATGTTCATTTCAGCAAATGGAAATACGCCCGCCCTCCACTTTCGGCGAAGCGTCTGCTGGTGTCCAGCGCAGCTCTCCACTCTCGCGGGCCTTGCCCACCGACCTACGGCGCGGCGAGATCCGGCAAGACGCGAATGGCGACATGCACCGACATGTCACGTGCGGATTTCGGCTCTATGAAGGTTATATACCAAAAACAGAAGAGGACAATACTGCCTTACAAGCTTTCATAGGTGGTACAAAAGCACCCATACCTGCGAAGCCCATATAGCATGGTACCATTCCAAACCATACATACCTCCCATGGCTTGGCACATGGCAGGGTGGTCCCTAGAAATTCTCTTAGG